CTCAGTTGGTGTGTGTATACAATTAGGTTTCTGTTTCTTTTTTATGCTCATATCTGCACCTATGGGGTATCTGCATTTCCACATCCTACTGTACACTGGTGATGTCATTAACAGAGCCTCAAAAATCAGAAAGAAGCTCTTCCTTTTTCCTTTCATGTTGCATCTTTCCTCTTCCATCCCAACATGGATTAGAACAAATCTACCTTGAAGCGTGGTGCAAGACCTCTTTACACGCCCTCCCCCAACATCCTGATAACAATGTCCTGGGGAAGCAGCAAAGCTCTCACCAAGGCTTCAATAGTCTGGAGCTGCTACTTTCAGTTAACAAATGAAAATTCTGAGATCTCTTTGCAAAGAAGAGTTATTTCATTTCATGAAATTTGTATATGTGCTGTTCAAAGTTATTTGATGTAAAAACATGAGAGGAAAACTCCTCTGGGAGTGGCAAGGCAGCACTAAATTACTGAGCCTAATGTACAAATAGTTCATTTTTCAAAATCCCAGCACTCTTCAGGATCTTTCTTGGCTGTAAGCATCATGCTTTAAGTACTAATCTTGTTTTGCTTTTATCTCATTTAATATTGTTTCAATGGCTTTTTTTTTTGGAGACAGTATGACACACAGCAATGTAAAGAAGGAGAGAGGTTTTTTTGTTGTTATTGTTTGTTCATTTGTTTGACTCACAGATTTAGAGATTTTAGGCAGGAAAAGCATGGTGGAAGGTCTGGTGGAAGTTGTTCATGTCATGGCATTCAAGAAGCACAGAGCAAAGAGAACAGCCTGGGGAGAGAAATAAACCCTCCCAGGTCATGGTACCAATGACTCAACTTTTCCAATCAGACTGCATCTCCTAAGACCATATCCTGCTCTGAACTTTTCAGTGGATTAAATCACTGCTGGCTATAGTACTGCCATGACCGAATCACCTTTCTAAAGCCCAGACATTGCACACATGAACCTTTGGTTCATGCTGGATATAATCTGTAACAGATAACTTTGCCTTAGAGAGTGCTGGACTACCAGGACATATAAGTAGAGGTATATGCAATGCTTCTGTACCTGGCTACCTCTTCTCAACTCTTACTCAAAATTGGGCCACTGCAAATATTACCTTTTCAGTCAAGTGCCCTTTAATGGAGACACTTTCATTTAGTAAAGAAAATTCATTTCAGTTCTCGTTTCCTATCAGCAATTTTGCTTTTCTGAGTCTGTATTCTTAGAATGGACAAAAGGTTTTAATAACTACTTTCACTCTCAACAGTAAATATTGAATCTGCAGATTCTTTGTTGGTGCAACCCAGAAAAATCAGTCATTTGCAGGTGAATTTCAAAGTAAATGGGGGCCTGAGCCCAATAGTTTGATCCACAGCTGCACCTCATGAAGGATTTCCTGTTTGCAAGTTGGTGGGTGAAATTTAGGTTTGAAAAGAGGGTGCACAGTGCCTCTGTCTCAACTCACACATGTCCGCTTGGATGGTATGTAGGAGGAGAGGGGTTCAGAACACCTATAGCTGTACCCTGCTCCTTCGTGCACCTTCTATGCACCTGCACAGAGCACACAAGTAGGGGTGGGGAAGAATTCTGGCATGAGAGCCGAAAACCTCAGATCCTACATATGGTCCTGTCGGTCATCTAGTGTCTCAGGACCTGTTCTTGCCTCTAATTTCACATTTCTAAAATGAGGATACTGGACAAGATTATATATTCTCATTGGTGGCAATAATATCCCAACCAGGCAGACAAAAATTAGGTTTTGGGGCCTCAAAGTGGTATTTTATGATTTTAGCTATTTTATGATTTGTAACCTTTTTAAAGCTCAGTTCAGCCAGAAAAAATCACATTCTTCAGCAAGGACTTTCTTTTATGGAGAATTTAAATTTATTTTAATTTTTCTTCATGGGGATGGGACACTGGAAAAAGGAAAAAAGACTAAGAATGCTGTTCTGGAATGAACACTTAAGAATTCCAACTTTATGAGGTTCAATGAAGTGCTGAAATTTCTGTGAGATGATGAGACCTAGAAAATGAATCTAATAAAGAAATGTTGTTCTGTAACTGAATACATTTTGGTTTGCAGAACTAAAATTGGAGGTTGCTTGCTTATAAATCTGGTGGAAATATACTATAGATTCAATAGTACTCAATTCTTTTAATATTATATTTTTATTTCATGTGCAAATGTCAAGGAAATAATGAGACATACAACTTTCAAAAAGTATGATTTTTCTCTAAAAATAATTTAATTTAAAGTCACAGAAATATTTACTTATTAGTAGAAAGACAAGCAATGTAGAATAAAATCTAAGGAAATAAGCATTATCTAAAGTCAGGTATCATTTTGACCTAATTTTTGATCAAGAAATAGTAAATTTTGCATTCAGTTTCTATTTTGTAAGAAACAAAGTCTTTCAGATCTGACATGACTCTCCAATACAAATTTACAGAGCTTCCTTAATCATTGTAGAGTATATTAACTGCTAATTTATGGGTATACTATATAGAAGATATTAATTTTAGTTTTACATTCTTCAAATTCAACATTCAAATGTTTTGTATATCTGCTTGGCTAATTCTTCTTCATAAAAAAGGAGACTCACTTTTACTGGATGAAACAAAATATGGAAACAATGCTAGGAAATACAGCAAAGGTGTGATAAGTATATGAGATTTACACTGGTGTTTAAATTTTGATCTCAGAAAATTTTTATGATGATGTGCAGTTTAATTTCTTTGTAATAATGTCTAAGAAATATTATAACAGCTTAGGGATATTATGACAACTAAGTGCATAAATTATATGGAGAACCATTATAGAGCTTGTATAATAGGGTTTTTTTTTTTTTGAAGATGACTGTTGTTATTATTTGGTATTGGATAATTTCTTTGACCTCACTGTTTTTGAGGTTGGCAGTAAAAGCAAAAATCACTAGCTTATTATCCTTAGCCAAAACCCTCTCATAGCCCTCTCCTACTCAACATCAGTTGATCAACATTACTAATTTTCTAATTTACTAATTTCTATTGATATTTTCTCTCATATCACATAAAATAAACACAAAATTCACACTGTTTAAAAACTCTTTAGGATCCTTTACATTTTAATCCTCCTAAATTGGTAAATGTCTTCTGTTTTTCTTTTTTCAGAGCATCTCAATAAGAATTATTCAACATAAAAGAGTTATTCATCTGCAGTCCTCCTAAGCACCTTTCAAACAATGTTCATACATAAAATGAAGGCTGGAGAACCATAGGAATCTGCCGGCTCCTAGCTTGGTAGTCTCTCCTGTTAGCCAACACAGAATTCCCATGCACTTCCGGAATCTATTCTGTGGTCTCCTGAGCATTGCTTCCTTTTATCTAAAGCAATAAGAGTAATCTTACTCGGAACTCCTAATTGCTTTTCATCAGTAACGTTGGCCTCTTCTCTACTCCTCACCTGAGCCCTATTGCTTTAATGCACCTCTGAATCTAGCTGTGAACTGTTGTCATGTTTAACATCCTATGAAAAAATAGACATTCTGTAGGCATCTGTAGGACTAATGGGCATTTTATGGAACTAACTGTTGTGCTGGGAAGCTGGTGGTCAGATGCAACAACAGAGTTAGTCCGTTAGCAGCATGCCCCGTCCTAGGGCAGAATGTCTGTGCATGTTTGTGCATTGGGGTCTGAAGGCAGTGCTCAGCGTGCAGACCAGCTTCTGGGCAAAACATGATGACCAAAAGGGTCTCTTTGCAACAGTATTGGTCCATACATTCTCATAAAACTTCACTTGATGTGTTTGATGGGTTGTGAAATATGTTGGTTGCATAAATATTCTTACTCATTCTTATGAAAGAGTAGATTTCTCAATTTATTATAAGTAGTGTTTCCATTTCTACTCTCTAGGGGAAAGACATCTTATCTGCTACCTCTGAAGATTCCAAAGTTAGACAGTAATTAGGATACACAAATGTTCTTTTTACTCTCTGCTTTTAGAAGAACAACTATTGATGCTGAGATACATGGAAACATGAGTTTGTAGCTGTGGAAAAGACTTCAGAATTGATCCACTCCTTTTTTACTGTTCGAGTGAAAAGGAAATGGAGATGTAGAAACATGCAGACCATTGAAAGCATGGGGATGATAAGGGCAAGAATGGGATGCTGATACACAGGAAACATTTTCCCATCGTGTTCTCTTAACCTAGGCTAACTGAGAAGGTCCTTGAAACCTGGAAGTAATGTGCAATACACTTTACTTAAATAAAGCAATGAATAAGCATTAAATAAAGTTAAGTAGGTTTATAAATTATAGATGGGGATATCGCTGGGAACTCACCAAATGTTTTTCTTCTCCTTCCATGGTAACACATTATGAGTAGGATAACGCTGCACAGACTGAGACATAATCGCCCAGTTTTCACTTCATGAATATGAAGGAATATGATATGTGTTACATGTGGGCAAAGTTCTTTGAAAAACAGTTCAGTCATCTGCCTGCTTTCTGTCCTGATCGTCTAAGTTAATACAGAGTCTGGGTAGACTGACAGAAGTGCAAGATAGAAGCTACCTGAGTATTTGAATCTTCACGTGGAAAAGAATTGTTTGCCAACCAAGCATTTCCTCTTCGATCATCATCAGAACAGAAATAAAATTTCATTGTGTTAAAGCCATGTCTCTGAAGAGTCTATACACATTACCAACTAAAGTTACCTTTAAAAAGCAAGTAAAAATGACCAAATTTGACTCTAGCGAAATTATATATTAAAAGGAAAATACAGATTACACAAAGGAGACATCTAGTTGCACCTAGTATTGTGGGCACCAAAGAGTTGTGGATCTCGTACTCTATCTTGGAGGTATATGCACTTGGAGTCATGAACTGAAGATAGTAATTGAAAGGTCAGATTGATGAGACTAGTACCAGAGATAAGATTTCTATGACAGATTGATGGATATTCCACTATCAAGGTGTACTTTTAATCATAAGCTCATTACTTTACTCCTGATGGTTGAACTCACCTTGCAAGAAGAATTTGGTTCTGAGAATGGCCTTCAGGGCTGGGGGGAAAGGGACTGTAGTAGGAGAGAGAGACAGAGAAAAAGAGACAGAAGGAAAATGCGATGAGAATATGTCAGTGAGGAGATATAGCCAAGTATTTGTGGCTGGGGTTGGGGAAGTAGAGGGCTAGAAATACACTGGGACTGCAGATTCCTCCACAGGACCAGTGGGAAGTCATCCCAAGCCAGTAAGTGTGTCATGGGGAGAAATGAGGATTTAAACTTAATAGCAAATAGATCCAGCTATCAAGCTTTGTAGATCTGTGGGGGAGTTTGGTTCTTAGCCCAGAGAGAGCTTAATAGAAGTCAATAATGAAATCATCAAGATGCAAGCATTAAATGCTTAAATGTGCTGTCTTTGCCTTTGATTACAAAGGCTTTCTTTCTCCCCAAGCACAATCTCAAAGTATACACAGGAATCTTCATTCAAAAGAAAACAAACTATGCACTTCATAGACACACATCAAAAAATTTTTAAAAAATAAATAAAAAAGTTATATTGTCTTTGTTCATTATCTCTTTCTTTCTGGAGGGAAAAATCAAAAGCAAGGAAACTGAAATAGTAACAACATGGAGGCAAGTGAAAACCCTGAATATAAATGGAAATGCATGTTGAAGTTTTTTTTTCCTAATAGTCATCTTGTTTTAAACACTTGCTGTTCATACAATCTTTTTTTCCCTTTAAAATTCAACAGCAGTGATGACCAGATCTACAGCATTTTCAACACAAGGACCTTTAAATATTTCATCAACATTTGTTCATTAAATCTCATTAGACTCTAGACAGGAATATAAATACATTTTATTTGCACAATGTGAATTCCCACAGTAATTTTTCTTTTTTCACCACACCTCACGTTCATGGAAACACTAATGCTAAATCTTCACTCGATTATTCACTATTCTTTCAGGGATGATTGAAGAAATGAATCTGGCATGGTCCTTGTCATTAGGAGGGTCAGATATAATTATTTTGCTCTCTTCTGCAATTAAATTTCTAAATAAAAAGGGTGTCAAAATTACAGAGTATTACACTACCTTGTTAGCACAGAAAATGACAGTATGTTGTTCAGTAAAGTTTCATCTTCTCTATTTAAACCTACATAAAAATTAGAAAAATGAGGGGCTTAGCTCAGTGGCATAATCACCTGCCTTGCAAGCAGGCGGTCTTGAGTTCGATTCCTGGTACTGATTAAAAAAAAATTTTTAAATTAGAAAAATGTTAAAAATGTGGTTCTCACCTTTTATGTTTTGAAAAGAGTATTTCTTCCAGATCTGACACCGAAATTAAGGCTTTATCTGTTCCTCTTTCTCTTAATCCTTGTGCCTTCCTCAAGCAAAAAGTACATTAGGAAAGAGACCCTTTGTGCTTCAATACATTATAAATAACAACATTCAGATGATGAAAGCAAGAAATGGGAAGTTAAAAACTTCACTGCTTTGTCTGTTGCTGCCTTCCCGAGGTCAAAAGGCAATCATTCAAAAATGAACAGGAGAGCTCCCAAATTATGACCACTGGTAAGGTTCCTACTATTGATTTTTCACCTCATACTAATTGGGCAAAGGAGACTCTAAAGAGTGTACACTGCCTATTATGGGTTATTTCTCCAGTTTCTGTGGTTCATGAATTCTGACTGACAGCAGTGATAAAGGAGTCTACATCTTTGAACAGATACCCAAACAAAAGTGCACAAAATTTTCATGAGTGCCTTTCCTATCAGTGCCTTTTGTTTCAGAATTAGTCACTGTTCTTATTTTTGTCCCTCTAGCCAAGTTTTGTGCATTCTACCTATTAATGTAAATGTAATGGCAGTGTATACCTTGTTTTCTACCTGGCTTCATTCCACACGATTAGCTTACTAAGCTTCATCAGTGCTATCAGGTGCATCATTAGCGCAACTTCAAAAACAATCCATATCCTTTTCAATATTCACCTGTAGACGTAGATTGCTTCAGGTTTCTTTCAACTATTGTATATAAATATGATATGAAAATTCTTGCTCAAGTTTTATTCTGTGTGTGTGTGTGTGTGTGTGTGTGTGTGTGTTACTATTATTATTCTTCCTGGGAAAAGAGCTGCTGGATCGTGGGCTAAGCAGATGGTCAATTGTGTAGAAACTATCTGTTTTGCAAGTGGACAACTATTTAACAATCCCAACAATAGCATATAAGAGTTCCAGTTGTTTCACATCATGCCAACATTTAGGCTTGTTAGTCTTTCCAATTTTAGTCATTTTAATAAATGTGTAATTGTATCAGATTGAGGAATTAATTCACACATTCTGGACAATGAATAATATTGAGGAACATTCCACAATCATTCTGGCCATTGCTCTGTTCACTCCTACAAAGTGCAAATCAAAGTATCTTGTCAATTTTTGAAATAATTAATTATGAATTTGTAGTAGTTTAAAAATCTCCATATAAGTTATTTGTCAGATACGCTTTCCAAATATATTTTCCCAATATTGCATGTCATATACTTGTTTTCTGAATGGTGTACTGTGATGGACAGAATATTTTCACTTCAGTAAAGCCAGAGTTATGTGGGTTTTTTGCTTTTTATATACTGCATGAGAAATGTTTACCAATTTTAAGGTTGCAAAAATATGTATTTATGTTTTCCTTTTAGACTTTCACATGGTGCATCTCTTGACTTTTGTGTGTGGTATGAAGAGGTAGCATCAAGGATAACATTAAGAAATGTATTTGAGTATATTTCATAATACATTGTATGATATACTCAAATACATATATGTAATATACTCAAATACATTTCTTAATGTTTATATGTGTAAAGTGTTACGATGTGTTCTATCTTTTGCTGTATAGAGAAGGCACATGTTTACTTCCTATCAACTCATCAATTCTCAAGTGTACAGACATGATCAGGACATGACTCTTTCAGAGGCGTGAAAGATATGAAGTCAAAGCTAACGAATAGTGTGGCACATTTTGGGCACACCAGTATAAATTGATATGCAATTATCAATAACTTGATAAACAAGTGAACTAGTGTCCATCTGTGAAGATTTAAGCTTACCTAGAAGCTTGGCTAAGATCTCAAGAAGACCCTAGACTCTAGAAATTAGTGGAAAATAGATAGCAAAATAAATGGTTACAATTTGATTTAGAATTTGTAAAAACAGATTGCATACAATAACAACATGAGATATATAAACCAAGAGATGATTCCAGATAGGAAAATGTATCCACAGAAGACCAACATTATTTCATACAGTAGGAGGAAGATACAGATAAAATATATGAGCATATATATGAATCATTTAGATAAAATTATTTAAGAATCAAAGATATTTATGGACATGTATTATTGATACTTTCTTCTTAATTCAACTCAGATTACTATAATGAGAAGAAAATTCTGATTGTGTTCTGAAATGAATTTCACTTTCAATGTTAATTGTCCTGAATCTAACTTGGCAAGTATTTTACCCAATATATCATTATCTAGATTATCTATACTAACTTTACAACTTCCACGTACACTATGGTTGTTTTTGCTTTTCCTTGGGAAACTTTTTTTAAAATGACATGTCAAAAGAATTTGATTTTCCACTAAGCCATCTTCATGAAATCTTGTAAAACCATAGGAAAGAATAATTAGAAGGATCTGTATAGTTTCCTAGAATGAGATTCTTTTAATTATTATTTGGCAAGATACTCAAGCTTAAATAAGGCTGAAATGTCTATTGAATATAGAAAAGTGGATTTTTGATATTTAATGTCTCTAAAACATCAAACTGAGAATATGTTGCATTCAGTGTATTTTTCAAATATATTTGACCATAGAGCATCCTACTGACATCTTCTGAAATAGCTTCCCATTTACATTTTTGGGAACAGAGTTCTCAGAAGAGACTGAATAATTTTACTCTACTCTGAGCCAACCTGTTATGTTTTCTATGAAGAACCAGTTCCTGCTATTACTCCTTCCTACAGAAGTTTGAATGTTCTCTAATATCCCTTTTTCGTCATCATGCAACACTGATGAAGAAAGACGTAATGGAAAAGAAGTATATTTGATGGTTTTAAATGAAATTTGTTGGTTTCACAATGGGGTCCAGCTGACATCTCTGCTCAAATCTCATCCAGCAGCCACTAGCCTAATAGCTTGTCAAATCGTGATGTAATTCATTCTTTCTTCCCCCTTGAACCTGCTGGAAGAGTTAGTATGTAAATTTCAACCTATTTTTAAGGGTTATTTTCACTCAAGTGAAATCTATCAAGGAAGGAGGGTTATTTTTACAGCATACAGCAACTGCTGATCACCATGGCAACCAGCCTGGTGAAATGCAATAAAGCATCCCTCTGTTATCGTAAACACAAAAGAGAAACACTGAAATCTAAAAGAAAGGCAATTATTGTAGGGGAAGGAAACAACACGCCAATGGAACACTTGCAATATTGTGTGCCTTCCCGGAGCTGGCTGGACAGTATTTCCAAAGCTATCCCTACCCAACCTTTGCACTCTACTAGTTGAAACTAAACCAACATTGAGTTAAGAGCACTTAAAAAAAAACTAGAGTTGCTTTCAATTCTAGCTGAAAAATATCATATGTTACTGCAAACCAATATAAACTATTTTTTTCTTTTCCTCATTTCTTAAATGATTTAAATGATCTTAGTCATGTAAAACATTAGGGAGGGAGAAAAAGTATCCATATTTGTCTGGTTTTCTTTAGGGAAACATTTTACTGTTGGCTGTGGAATTGTGAATAGAAATAAGAGTCTGCATAGAATAAATAAATATATATCTGTATTTATATATATCTTCTTCTCATCTCTTACTTGTCTTTTATTAGTATAACTTCCAAGAAAATGAAAGCAGAAATGCTGAGAACAATTATTGAACTTCGCATCTCATGTGCTCGGATTAATGTGAAATCCAAGGAGTCAGGAGTATTTGGAACGAACGTGTAATAAGATAGATGAAGGTGGCCACATTGTAGTTTAAGAAACTAGTGTCCAGAAACATTCAAGCTAAATATGAG